TCGACTACTTCGCTCCCTATCACTAGTTCAGGTACCGATGCAACCCAGTCTTGAAGCAACATTTTGCATCTCGAGGGGGAATACCACATCCCGAACATGCTTGCATTGTTGCTAAGGGTAGTCAGAAGACTCTGCATTTTGTCAGCGTCTTCACCAAATAGAACTATGTCATTGGTATATTCTAAAGTCATAAGCGAGCAGCCTGGTAAAAGGTCCTGAAAATCTGACGAAGCCATCATGTTAACTCTAATCAGGATGTTCTACCGACAAAGTTTAAACACCGAATGGAGAGAGGTGGGACAGCCCTGACCGGAACCACAACTTGAATGTAGAGGATCAGATGACTTTACGCCATATGCTCTCACCTCGGACCAGTGGCTTGTGTTTGACAGTCGAGCGTGCTTGTATAAGGTTAAATGTACTTCTTTGGTACACCTTTCAATGACAGACACTGCCACAGAACCTCACGATCCACTGAGTCAAATGCCGCTATTAGGTCCAGTGAACCGACTATTGTCGGACGTCGAATTGTGTATCTGTGTTCCAGGACCTGTCGTAGTGTGGAGATGTGGTCTATACAACCACGTCCAGGTCGAAAACCAAGCCTGCTTTCTCGAGTTTGCTCTACTCGAGCTTTTCGTTGACGTCTAAGTATAATCGAGGCTAACAATTTAGAAACTATATTAGTTAAACTTATTCCCCTGTGATTGTCACAAGAGGACTTCTGTCCTTTCTTGTAGATTGGGACAATTAGCGACTGAGACCAGTCAGATGGGATTACGTCCATTTCCCAGATTCTACCTAGGATCTCGGTCAGTTTTAACGGTTAAAACTGGACCACCATCCTTAAATATCTCAGGGGTAAGCCTATCGGGACCTGCCGCTCTACCTCTCCTTAGATTTCCTATAGCTTTCTCAACTTCATGTAAACTGGGAGGACTTAAATCGATTTGCCATTCAGGATGACTGGAGATCGTGGGCAACCGAAGAGTGGCTCGAGGCCAGTTGAACTGATCCCTAAAGTGTTCTGCCCATCGGTCCAGCCTCCTGGATTGAGAATGGATAATAAGACCATCCTTTTCCGAGATAGTCTCGCTCACATTCGGGTTCCTAATACCGGTTTCTTTGATAAGGCGGAAAAGTTGTCTAGTGTTGCCTATCGCTGCTGCCTTTTCCATCGCTTTTGCTTTTCGCACCCACCACTGTTCACGGTCGTTACGTAGGCTTTTTATAAGTCTTCGCCTAAGTGGACTACGTTCTTCATCATGTTCAGAGTCAGGTGGTATGCGTTTTCGAGCATCCATCAGTTCGGTGGATGCGACTGAAATCCACTGCTTCATCCTAGCATTATGGTTTACCTTGCTAGCAGATACCATTGCTGTTTCCACAGCCTTCTTGATATGATTCCCATCCTGCTTCAGGATGGGAATCACTTGCATGGTCTCATAACTGTTTTTTCTAGTTCCTCCTGAAATATTTTCTTAGCTTGATTATCATCAAGTAAAGCCCTAAGAGGCTTTCTTACGGTGTCTTTCCTACGTCCAGCAAGCCTCAAACAAATACGTGCTCGCGCTAGGGCATGATCTGAATACAAACATGTGCACCAGAACGAGCGGCAGTCCTCTATTGAAACCCTCCATCGATGGCTGATGGCGATATGGTCTAGTTGCTTCCAACGTTGATACGACTTCGCCAGTCGCCAGGTCAATAGATGTTTTTCCTTTTGTTTAAAATTAGTGTGCTAGAAATAGGCGGTTATCTGAGCACAGTTGCAACAGACGGTCGCCATTGTCCGTTCTTTGAGCCGCAAGACCATAACATCCACCTAAATGTCTTTCATTTTCACTTAGTCTACCCACTTGAGCATTAAAGTCACCAGCCATTATTATTACATCGGAACGCTTAGCTTTTTGGAGAAGGTCCGAAAGCTTTCTGTTAGAACTCATCTCTTTACATCGTCCTTGAACGTCGCAATCAGTTTGGGGCGTAGGTCAAGACATACAGACGAGTGTCCACTATCCTTTGGTACGACGTACCTGTACTGTCCCATTCAGTCGTTACCAGCACACAAGCGACTATCTACTGGGATCCAGTCCTAGGAGCTCCTAGTTTCTACCCTAACTCCTCAATGCTATACCTACGACCAGCGAGGCCCTTCTTAGAAGCCAGCATCAGGGCTACCGGCTACACGAAGGGTTAAAATCGAGTTGCTTCTTTATCTTGACATGGTGAGGTCAAGTGACATGATATGCTACCTTGGATCCTGTATGCGCTTTTCCGATCTCACTCAGCACACCATCGATGGCACGAGATTCTAAATTCCTAGCTAATGACGCCTGTTGCGCCTATTTGGACACAGAATGTCCGTACATTAAAGTGCTCCTAACATGTAGTTTAGAAACGGGGTTTCAGAGAGACCAGGAACGATGACGTTTCGCTGAACTCGCATCGTTTTGCCATTAAGCTGTGCACTGTCGATAAAATTGTAATGTGAGAAAGAGTTAGTCGTGGAGATAAGAGAGGTATTAGGGGGTGTCGGAAGGATATGATTTTGACCAATTCGGTCTCGTGTGCGTTTACGGGTATGAGGGCGGTTATCACTCCCGGCTGCCCACACCATGGAAGATTGTTTCTTGAGGAACCTGAAAAGGAAGATAGATTAGTCTTGGTACTTCGAGACCTGGGAGCGTGACCGCAGAGCCCAGGCGACAACTGCTTGAGGCCGGTCACGCACTGCCTTTTTATGAGAAGTTTTTGAAGTATTTAGCTCCGTTTTTGCTAAGCCCTTAGTGGGCACCCTTACGACGGAGACGGAAATCCGTGGGGTAAGGTGAGGTGTGACATTTTTAGGGTCGACCTTTTCTAACCCTTCCTTCCTTGTGAGAAGGCAGCATCGCTGCAGATGCTGGTTGTCCGAGGGAAACACCTTACTGCTGTCACACCCCTCTGCAGTCAACATTACGACTTCGCCCTCAGACCTTGAGTAGCTGCTTTTAGTCTCATCGCACTCCAATCGACCTGCCTGGTATGGTAGAACCATCAGGAACATATGTTCCAGCGAATATAGCTCGGTTGGGTCATCACGATAGGCAAACCCGACCACCACGTCAAGGTAGCAGCTTCGGTCGGGTTTTCATCCACACGTCGACACTACTGATTTTGTTGCTTTCTGAATACTTAAGTTATTGATCCATGTGTTCAACTCAAGAAGTCTTAACCTATATCTATCCTTCATTACAAAATAGTTCGAATTTGATTGCAACCTGGATATTTCTAATGTGACACACTTTTGCTGCTGTCAACACAAGGGAAAACTCAACTTAGCGAATATATGTAAATAATTCTCCATATTTAACACAAGTATTGCAACTTATTATACTCTAGACTTACCATAAACTTTTTATCATAACCCATGTTTCTGATCTTTTTTCTTTACTGTGTTCCGTTAGTTGTTTGCATATTCCTGACTGCTGCTCTCGGAATGCCTGAGGCTTTGATTCCTGTACAATTGCTTTGGGTTAACTTAGTTACTGATGGCCTACCTGCTACAGCTTTAGGATTTAATCCTCCCGATGTCGACATAATGACTAAACCACCACGTAAAAGCAGAGAACCACTAATTTCTGGATGGCTATTTCTTCGATACATGTTAATAGGTATCTATGTTGGCTGTGCAACAGTTGGAGCAGCAGCCTGGTGGTTCATGATCTATGAGGAGGGTCCTAAAGTAAACTATTACCAGTTGGTATGTACATTTCTTATGAAAACGCATTTTTCTATTTTTATACAATTTACATATATATTCTGAGCAACATATATTGCATGTCCATCATTTTTATTGAAGCTTTCATCTTACTTATGGTTGTTTCTACTTAATATAACTGTCAGTAAATGAAATTGTGTGATGTTTGTCTACGCCCACTACTTTTCTCGTGTACTTGTTCTTTACGTCTCTGCGAAACAGTGTAAAATATTTTGGCCGACTAGTTATAATCTATAAAAAAACAGGCGAAGTACTAATCTTAAAGAAACGGTCGTATACGGTTCTGAAAATCTATGTGAAAGCAAAAAGAATTCAACACGGTAATTCTTCTCTTTCCCCATAGAAATTCACGTAACTACACCCAACCTTTTATCTGAAATGTACTTATATATTCTTCAAGTCAATCACGTACTAGTTTATTTCTCTCATATTACTCGACTTCTAATAGCATAATCACTTAAGAAAGTAACTGCTAGTCTTGTTCTTCTTTGAGAGCATTGTTCGGGACTCATTCGTCTATTGATCAAAAAAACATATCAAATACCTCAAGAATGTTTTCCGTCAAATTTTATTTACCGTTCATTTTAGTGATTGTACGTCCTTTCATTTCAAATCACTTTATAACACCAACACCATAATTTTTTTTCTGTTCAGTCCTAGTTTTCCTTTTTATATTTACCTTAGAATTAAAACACAGTTTCCGTTTTATAGACGCATCATTTACAATGCCAGTTAGAACCTTCTTTATTCAAAGGAGTTGATTGTGGCGTATTTGCCAGTCCAAAACCAATGACTATGGCTTTATCGGTGTTGGTTTTAATTGAGATGTTTAACGCATTAAACAGGTAACTTGTTTTTTTAATGTTTAGCTCAGTAAAGAAACAAATCAAATTATTCTGTAACAAAACAGATCTTATTCACTAGTGTTTACGTTGGCGAATTGTTCACTCTCTTCTGTTGATGTATAAATCAGATCATTATTTTAAACTATCTTTGTTGTGAATTAATTATATGGTGGAATGGAATACCAAGTTTGTTGTCATTACTTCGGGTAGCGCAAAGCGAATCATCTCCATTAAGAAATGTTATATTTATGTACTTGTGGTTGGTTAGGTTATAAAAGTCTTTCAAAAATAGAGCAGCTCATGGAATAACTTTTATGGTAAATGGAATCGTAATGTTTTGAGCAAAAGTTGTTTTTTTAATAAATGATGGTTCATGGAAATATCACGTCATCCGTCTCAGGTAATTTTTTTAATGTGCTTATTTTATTAGCCTTTCTGAGAATCAGTCACTTCTGGTCATGCCTCCTTGGCACAATATGTGGCTTATCGCTGCTATCTGTTTTAGTATGACGCTACATTTTGCGATCTTGTACATAAACGTGCTAGCGGTAGGTTTTTCAGTTTTATTGTTCATATTTTGAACTTTAATCATCCATTTATTTAGGTTCTGGTTTCAGAATTTTAATTTGTAAACACTTCTAGGTGTCTGTTTCAATTACCCTTATGTGGTTGCACGATTTCTGTCAGCCCTGACAGACTGCGGTCCTAATTAAATGAAAGACAAATTTTATCACCAATTAAGTGATTTCCAGAAAGCACATCTGACATAATGTATTGCTAGTCGGAGATCCGAATGCATACGTCGGACATCTAGGCTCAGGAAAGTCGTTTCGGTGACCAATGAAAACTCATTCTATCTGGAGTCCTCTCTCTACATCTGAAGACTGGACTCAGATTTAATGCATCGCGAGAAGCTACCACTAAAGTGGCTGTGTACAAGACTCATTTTTTAGTGTTTATTTGGACTGTGGTTACGCCGTCCTTTTCACTAATTATATAGTACTTTTTGGTGGTCAACAAACTCCTAAACAGATCGATATCAACGAATCGGATGTAACTAACTATCAAAGCAAACTAGTTTCAAGGCTAGCTATCAATTCATTGAAAGGTGTAGATGAGCATTGACTTCGTTTGCATCGCAACACAAAAATAGCGAGTAAAGTTACTTGTAGGTTCTGAAAATGTCCATCTTGTGAGTGTTGGATTTTATGAAGGTTCCTTACAATTCATTGAGGCACATCGGTCTACGCCGACTCTCCGAAAGTTTGGCAATAAACGGAGATTCTCGCTTAATAAAATTACACAAAGCTCGCGTAAGAACTGAAGGATCTAGTAGTTCGAGCGTGGTAACTGTTGAAAGCTCTTTCAAATCATCCTAGCTACTAGTAGCGAAAATTTTTGTGTGAATAAAACATCTTGTAAATCTGATGAGACATCAACATATAACAGCTAATGACCTCAGACGATGGACAAAACCATTTTAGAAACAGTTTAGTTGGTTGTTGCCTCGGCGATGTCGGTCAGATTGTTCTGTACCTGATTGCAGGTATCAATTGATGAAAGTTAACAAAGAACACCAACTTCTCGAGATTCATGAATCGACAGACAGATAGACCTATCCTAATCCCCATCTCTTCTTAAGGACACTAGTGAACTTCTGGACAGATAGAGTTGTTTGAAAAGGTGTGTAAACTATAGTTTTTAAGATCCTTGAATGAACTTGTAGTCATTTGCACCTTTAAGAAGGACTTTCATCTTGGCAATAGATGCCGATAAGAAAAGTCTGTTTACGATTGTGTCTTAACTTAACATTTATTGAATACTTTATGTAATTTATTATCTATTTAGTTCCCATAAATTAAAAAGTACTTTCGTGTTAAAATAAATCACTATTTTTATTCGTAGAAGTAGAACAAACCAACAGGGTTGGTTAAAATGAAGGATACCTAAAGATTAAAAACAAAAGCTAACAGAGTTGTAGAAACCACTATCAAAATCAGTCAGTCATACTATTTCATTAATTTAGCTTTGTCCATGATATTTTCTACATTGCATTGTACTATATTTCAGAATATATTCCAAATAGCTGCACTGAATATTACAGAGTGGCTTGCTGTATTGAAAATCTCCATACCCGTACTTTTATTGGATGAGACACAAAAAGCTATTGCTCGTTCTGTTCAAAGAGGCCATAGTCCACTCCGTCACATAGCGATACCGATAGCGATATGGTGCGTATATGCTGCTTTTATTGGCTTCAACCCTTTGTGATTGTAAAAACGTTTATTCTCCTTTTTGTACTAACTGCTCTAAATCATTCTTCAGTCAGTCGGATTGTAAACATTCTCATGTGATCTCCACCTCGATACTTTAAATCATGTTTCTCTCAATTTTTTATTTGTCGACAGATTATCGATCCATGCAGACCATTCTGAACGATTTCCATTTCACACTCATTTATTGTTTAATGTTCTTGGAGACTGCTAGAAAATAATATTTCAGGGGTTGTCCTATTTTTACCCTTTATTTCTGATTGTATTAGTTCTCATTATCTTCGAATTATTGTTTATTTATTCATGTCATATTCATGTATAAAAACATTCCTACATGTTTCTCGTCTTACATATCTTAGTTATCCGTTCCATGTTGAAAGTATGGATTAGGTAGTTGTATTACATTTTCCTTTCTCGTTAAGGTATTGAACGTAAATCGACTTTGGAGTATCACTCAGTAGACTGTACGGTGGTTATGTGACAATGTTCCTTGTAAGGAGTACTTTATTAGTTTATATTACTGGTCTGTATGAAAACCTAGCTTTTTTGATAATAAGAACTTCACATTAGATGTATAATTCAGGATTGCTTTTTATATCTATTGGATGTTTCCGTAGCTGGTTTGATCTCAAAGTCTTTCCTGTAGAATAACATGTTTCAGCTGCCCCGATCAGCAAATTAGTATTCGAAAATTAATTCATTTTTTGACAAGGCTTCTCTCGTGATTTTACTAACAAATATTCATTAAATGTTTATTATATCTAATACATAGACAAATAATATCATTGTGTATTTCTTTAGAGTGGACCTAATCGAAATAACATAACGTTTCTTCCGTAATTTTCACCAATAAACGGCATTTAACATAGTTTTGGTTACTTGTTTAGATTAATCACTGACTAAAGGTGTTTGTTAACAACAAAAAGTTAGCCCCAGTTGCCTGAGTACGGTTGAAAGTGGAGGGGAGTCTGCTCTACCTCTTGAAATGCTCATATGGTTACACGTATATGGTCACCTTCAGTGAAAGCCAATTTCCGGCACTCAAACCGCATATACATCTCAAGAAATATACAGTAACCACGTGGAGTAATCTTAAAATTCTCGCTGTTACCAAAAGCAATTTTTCTAAGATAAAAGGCCTACGTCACCTAAATTATTCTGATTTTCGCTTATAATTGACGACTATGTAAGTTCTTATTTTGAAGTCATTTAATATTTTCATAAACCAGATATTACGAAATCAATATGTCCGAGTATTTCGCTCGCGCCATTAGTTGCGCACAACTTCGTTTGAAAAATCAATGAATTTATTCGGAATTACAAACAAATTTCGAATGTTGAAACTTTAGCAGTACAAAATAGTGCAGTCTAAAACTAAATTCAACTTTGTTTCCACAGCTTCTCTATGCGTAAATTCATGTGACCGGTGAGTGTACGAATATTCTAGAATATGTTTAAACAGTAAAATTACAGTTTGCGGATCAAATAATGTTTCTTTTCCTAATGTAGTTTAGGCTGTGACATGATGTACTCAAACTGATCAATAATTCCCTTAATATAAATCAACTTGCCTTCAAAATAAAGGACGGTTATTTTAAGACAGCCGGCTAAGCTCATCAAGAAATTATATTCAGTCATACATACGTAACAACTTTTATTCCTTATCGCTTGTAAAGTTTGGGTGTCCAACGTTACCAAAAACTGACACTTGAATAACGTTATGATCATTCATTGCAACGATTTGTTGACTAGCACTAAGCGATTGACTATTTTGACTGGAAAAGTGTGTCTCTGTAAATAAAAAACGTAGAGAATACCCACAATTTTTGACTGTGGGTATTAGGTCGTATTTAAGTTGAAGACTATCCCAATTGCTTGCTCATTAAAACACGATTTTATTAGCTTATGTAACTCACTTCACACTGACCAGATATCATTTTCAAGATTATCTTTTACTACTTGCATTTGTAAGCTTCTTTTAGTCAGTCATCGTTCGGTCTGGCATTTAAATGTGAAACAGCTAGACCGAAGTTATGTAGGCATATAATTAAGATTTTAAGACTGAATAATCTCCCCGTGACAGAGGTGATGAACTTGCAGAGTGTATGCTGCGTATAAGAAGAGTCTGGATCATTGCTCACTGCTTATAAGGCTCAACTCTGCCAGTAGAACCTTAGCGGCTCCTGCCGGTCCCAAGCCCGGATAAAGGAGAAGGGTTGGCGACCCCATTCCGTCGAAATCTCACTTGCCAAAAAACGCTAACCAGAAAAAATAATTCAAACCATTTTAACTCTGCCCTGGGAGTTGGAAGAAGAATTATGACGTCGCGTGATGAAAGCCGAGTTCCCTCGGAAGTCACGGGGCCGATGCCTCTTCTCACAACCAGAGCACCCATTTTTTTAGGTACATGGAACGTTCGTACATTGTGCGAGCTTGGAAGACTATTTCAAGTTGCGGCAGAAATGAAAAGATACAACCTGGATGTGCTCGGCATCAGTGAAACGCATTGGACACAGGCAGGACAACTGAGACTAGCTTCAGGGGAACTGCTGTTATACTCTAGTCATGAAGAGGAAAATGCTTCACATACACAAGGAGTTGCACTGATGCTGTCCAAACATGCACAAAAGGCACTGATAGGATGGGAATCTCATGGACCGAGGATCATTAAAGCATCCTTCAGAACAAAGAAAGAGGACATTACAATGAACGTCATCCAATGTTATGCACCTGCCAATGACTACAATGACCACGTCAAAGATCAATTCTACGAAAGGCTACAGTCAATCGTCGAGAAATGTTCACCAAAGGATTTGACGATTCTTATGGGAGACCTGAATGCCAAGGTTGGAATGGACAACACTGGATATGAAGACATCATCGGACGACATGGACTGGGAGAAAGGAACGAAAACGGTGAGAGATTTGCAAACCTATGTGCCCTCAACAAACTGGTCATCGGCGGCACAATATTCCCGCACTAGCGCATACACAAAGCCACATGGATTTCACCGGACCACACTACTCAAAACCAAATTGACCATATCTGTATCAACAAAAAGTTCAGAAGGACGATGGAGGATGTGAGAACCAAGAGAGGAGCTGATATAGCTTCAGATCACCACTTGCTGATCGCCAAAATGAAACTGAAACTAGAGAAACACTGGACAATGGGGCAGACAACATCGCACAAGTTTAATACAGCATTTCTTCGGGATACCGTAACACTCAACGAATTCAAGATAGCCCTCACCAATAGGTTCCAGGCCTTTCAGGGTCTACTCAATGGAGAGGAAGCAACATTGGAGAACAATTGGAAAGGGATTAAGGAGGCAATCACTTCAACATGTCAGGAGGTCCTTGGTCGCAAGAGGCACCATCACAAGGAATGGATCTCTGTTGGTACTCTTGAAAAAATTGAAGAAAGGAGGAACAAGAAAGCAGCAGCGAATGTCAGCCGAACAAGAGCAGAGAAAGTTACCGCACAAGCTGAATGCACAGAAGCAAACAGAGAAGTGAAGAAGAGCATCAGAGCTGACAAACGAAAATATTTGCAAGATTAAGCAGTGACGGCGGAAAAGGCTGCAAGAGAAGGAAACATGAGACGACTGCATGATACAACGAAGAAGGTCGCTGGAAACCGTCACTACCTGTGAAAAGCAAGGAAGGCAAAGTAATCAGCAACACTGAAGAACTGCGAAACAGGTGGGTAGAGCACTTTAAGGAACTCCTGAATCGACCAGCTCCACTGAACCCACCCAACATCGAAGCAGCATCCACGGACCTCCCAATTTATATTGGCGCACCTACGATTGAAGAGATCAGTAAGGCCATCAGGCAAATCAAGAACGGCAAAGCAGCAGGACCAGACAACATTCCAGCAGAGGCAATGAAAGCAGATGTAGAAGCAACTGCGAAAATATTTTACATCCTCTTCAAGAAGGTTTGGGATGAGGAACAAGTACCATCAGATTGGAGAGAAGGATACGTGATCATAATACCAAAGAAAGACGATTTCAGCAAGTGTGAGAACTACACAGGCATCACTCTTCTTTCAATACCAGGCAAAGTCTTCAACAGGGTATTGTTAAACAGAATGAAGGACTTCGTAGACGCCCAACTTCGAGATCAACAGGCCGGATTTCGTAAGGATCGATCATGTACTGACCAAATCGCTACATTACGGATCATTGCGGAACAATCAATTGAATGGAACTCACCACTATACATCAACTTCATCGACTACGAGAAAGCATTTGATAGCGTGGATAGGAAAACACTGTGGAGGCTTCTTCGACACTACGGTGTGCCTGAGAAAATAGTCAACATCATACGGAATTCTTATGATGGATTCAACTGCAAAATCGTGCACCGAGGTCAGCTGACAGACTCTTTTGAGGTGAAGACCGGTGTCAGGCAAGGTTGCTTACTCTCACCCTTTCTCTTTCTCCTGGTCGTCGACTGGATTATGAAGACGTCGACGTCTGCAGGGAAGTACAGTATCAACTGGACAGTTAGGACGCAGCTGGACGATCTGACTTGGCACTTCTATCGCACACTCAACAACAAATGCAAGAGAAGACGACAAGTGTAGCAGCAGCCTCTGAGGCAGTAGGTCTCAACATACATAAAGGAAAGAGCAATATTTTCCGATGCAACACAACATGCACCAAACAAATCACTCTTGATGCAGATGCTTTCGAGGACGTTAACAACTTTACATATCTGGGCAGCATCATCGACGAGAAAGGTGGGTCGGATGCAAATGTG